TATGTAATACCGTAAAATAAGAAAGAAGCAGTTTCCAATGATGTTACTTATTGCCTAAAATATTAGATATACAGCGCAAAATTAACAGGGTATAAAGTAACAGTGCTTTTAAATTGTTATTAAAATAAGTACGTATTTTATTTATACATTCATATACGACCAACTACAAAACGAAAAATCTCTGGAAGATGTCCAAACAACACAAACATAAAAGAATCAACTAAACCTTATGCATCCATCATACTAATCTAAACTTTCTATTTTATTTTTTGCTAACAATATAATCAACAAAATAAAACAAGGACTACAGTAAGGTTTTGTACAGGCAGAGTAGTGCTACTTTGAATAATAAGACAACCCACTCGTGAATTATGTTTAACTAAAATTTCCTGCCAAGAGCAGACAAACGTAGCAGAGGAAGGCCACCTACACGTTGGGCTGACGAGATCAGGTGTATCACGAAAAATTGGCAACAAACAACACAAAAACGCAAATAATGGAGGAGTTTAAGGGAGGCCTATGTCCAGCAGTGGTCGTGATAAATGAAGGCTGGATGATGATGATGATGATGATGATGATGATGATGATGATGATGATGATGATGATGATGATGATGATGATGATGATGATGATGATGATGATGTTGATGATGATGATGATGATGATTATGATGATGATGATGATGATGATGATGAAAACATTTTCATTGTTTTCTGCATCGTCTGGTTGCGGAAATTGGTGAGTTTCAGTTAGTCTCAGGTGAGATAAACAAAGTTCCTGACAAAAATATGTAATGTATATTTTGTTTTGAGTTACTTTCTTCTATATTAAGTAAGCTTTTACGATAGCTGTACCTAACAGTAACTCTGGTGCAAATTTTTTGTACCACTTAATACCCTTACGTAAACAATGAGAATAGCCTTTGATTTGGTCCGAAAGATCGATAAACTATTTTACTTCATTGCAATTCACGACAGCTTCTGGTTACCTTATCTGTGTCAAACCTAATTAGCGTAAGAACATCTCTCTTGTCAAACTACTTTAAAACGACTATTCCCGTATAAGTTTCTTGTTTAATTAGATTTTTGAATGTTATTTTTTGGTACTATATTTTTAGCATTGTATTTAAGATTACTCTAACCGTTAGATTCTAACGTGTTTCAACAAGATAAGTTTTTTAAGTCAACAATTCAGTAGCCAAAGAAACACTTGCATAATAATTTATTATCCGTGTATAATCCGCAACCATAATTCAAAAGTCCTTCCATAAAATAAAGTACTACACTCGCGGACAAATTTTCATCATGTGCAGTATCGGTATCACAATAAATTTTAAAATGGTGTATATAGCCACTCACAGCATAACTTATACGCTTTTATACCGAACTTTTTTGTTTTTGGTTTAATGTTTAAACCGAAGGGGTACACGAAATGGATGCATGCTTTTTATACACACTTCTAAACTAAGAGAATAGTATTTTTGGAACTTTTCTAAAAGTTTACTGAGCAATGAAGTTAATTTTCCGAGTCTAACGTTATCAAGCGAAATATCTGTATTATTGCTGAAATGCCAAATAGCCAAAAGTAGTTTAAACCAGTGACGAGAAAAAAATTAGAAGTCTGATTAGAATACACAAAAACATTAATGAAAATATTAATTAATTTTTTGTTATAACAATTTTCTATAAAGTTAGCATTAACCCTTAACCCGAAACATAGTACTTTTATTGATAATGCGAAACATATGGTATATTGGTCCAGTATAGGTAAAAATTGAAATAAATCAAAAACAAATGTAGCATTTGAAGAGAACACCAAAATATTAAAGGGTTTATTAGGTATAAACGAGCAAAAAAAACTTATTCATACACAATACTTACATACAACAAAATGTGTAATCTACAAAACAACATTATTAGGCGTAATTAAGTAAACAAACATATATATTTCTATATAAAACAAAAAATATACTACAGCTACCTACTAATTTTAAAGACAGGTATCGCAAATCTTTCTACTATACTCCAAACAAATAGCATTTGAGCAACGCACACATTTATAATTTGTCTTCCTTATTTTTGATGATGAACAAATGCTACACAATTTTCTTTTGGGAAGCTTATATTTGGAACATTGTCGCCGATATTCTCGACAGGCACTTCGGGGTTTATTCCAAAAACTCTTTATCTGCTTTCTAAGGTCTCGGGGAAGATTTGTTTCAAGTATTTGCCTTAGATGAGTCTGAGTTAGTTCAAAGGCCAAATATTTTACAAATTTAAAACGTGAAAGTAATTTATTATCTTTTTAACAAAGACCAAAGACAAAGACTTTGACTGAACTTATATTTATAAGTGTATAAAATACTTACTATTAAACTGGGAATATAGTCAGTAGTTTATATTTTTTTGTATTTATTTTTTTTATTACATTATAGAATAATAAAATAGCTTCAGAACAATATATGTATAAAATACGGCTAAGGGCCAACGCCTTGTCCGGCGGTTTGCACTATAATTGGCACACTTCATGTCTAAAACATCAACTCCCGATTTTGTACTGTTATAGTATCGAATTATTTCTGGTTTTCCAAATTCATTGTCTTTGGTGTGATGCATAGAGGATAATAGAAGAAGAGCTCTTTTTTTGGTATATATGATATCAAGGGTATGCCATTGGAGAAACCATAGAGTGTTGCACCAATTTCCCTACTTTTATTAGCCTGGAATTCCAAAGGAACTTCTCGCTTATTTTTTTCTATACGCACATACGTGAGGTGGCGTTTTTGCAACTCTGTGACTAACTCTATTGAAAATAGTTGTCAGCAATAATATTTCGTTTACAGACCTCTATTGGTTTGGATAGTCGAATAACACATTGAGCATGCTTGGAAAGCTTCAGTTGTTCTTCTGAAAGTCCAACACCATCCGAATCTTTCCCTGAGTATATATATCCATTATAGAAATACGAGCTCTTAGCATCTCTCATGCACATTACTTATTTCGAAGGTTTGCTGGGCATGTAAATTCGAAAACCACAGTGGCCTCTAAATGAAAGTAGCATCTCATCCACAGTTACACAATCTGACAACACAATATAACCTCTGGCAATTAGTTCCAAAATTATTAAAAATATTTGAAATAGCCGCTGTTTTATCATTTTTTTTCCGCTCTTCGCAATCCATACTATTCTCAAATCTAAGACACGACAAAAGTATTTCAAATCTTTTCAAAGACATCGTCATTCTGAATATTGGCCGATCCAAAACATCTTTAGAAAACAGTTGAAGCATATCTTCATGAGAAGATTTTATAACTGAAGATAGCATAAAAAGCCCAAGCAAAGCCTTCAACTCAACTATATGTGTGCTTCTGTAGTTTGATGTATTAGTCGAATCAGATAACTTTTCTCTCATTATAATAATTTTTTGGTTTGTCCATTTTACAATTTGTTCCAATATTTCATCAGTAATCAACAACTTCCAAATATCTGATTTAGAAGGGCTATTTCCCAGAGTCCTGATTACCGCTGTTAGGCCTCGTAATTCTCGAACAATGTGATGTGTTTGTGTCCTTGTATTTCTCAGAGGCTTCGTTCCCTACCACTGAAAACCATTTTTTCCTTTGAATATGTTCACACCCCCTTCTACTTGTAAAAAGTCGGTTCTGGATTGTAAATCATTCGACGATTTATGTGATTCCAAAAGTTTGTGATCTGAACTCGATTCTTCGCTGCTAAAGGTTTCACTCTGCCGAATTACATAGTCAGGATCTTCATCCAAACCATCTATAACATCTCTTATGTCCTCGTCATTCCCTTGCTCTAATAAATATAAATCTTGATCGTCGGCAAATAGTAATCTTTAAATATTCTTTTCAAAATCTGGGTCAGTCATATTAACTTTTTTATTACGGCCAGTTCCGTTAGGTCCTGATCTATCCATTATTACTACAAAATTAAAAATTTTTGGAGTAATTATGTTTATTTTACAAAAAATATGAAATACCTTATTGTTTATCAGTACACAATCCGTAACAAGTGGCCTCCTAGACCTATCATAAAAACACTGCAATTCGAAACACCTGGCTTACTATACGTACACGTTTTGAAAACTACTATTACTACGAAGTAAACACTAAAGCGGTCGCTACGATACTGCAGATTTATGCTTGTTCTGCACTATTAAGAAGTTATTTAAAAGAACAGTGCATGCGGCCTCCACTGTTATCGCCATTAGCAGACTATCCTTTCGCTGTGGTCCGTTAGACCAATATTTTATTTCAACTACAAATTCTTCAGATATAGCAACTGGAGAAGCCCCAAATATTGGATGCCTGTGATTTAATTGTAACCCAATATGACTGAGTTTTATCTTTAATTTTTTTTTCTAAAGCTTTAATTACAGCATCCTCAAGCCTTTTTCCTCGAGACATGGCTTCTGTAGCAGGAAGTTTGGTTACACTAAGTATTTGGTTATTGGTTAACCAGGAAACCATCTGATTTTTTCAGTGTGCTGCATCATAAATCTTTGGTACAGTTATTCTTGCATATCGCAGGTCAAACCATAAACTGGAATTAGACTGTTCAATGGTTATTGCTGCAGCTTCAGAACATAGTTGGGGATCCATTTTCTGATAACAGAATTCTAGAAATTCTGAAAAATTCAGTGCCATTTCGGAAAAATCATTTCTGCTAACAAAATTTAACAGCAATTGATGTATTAATTACTATTAAACTGGGAATAAGCCACAATTAAAGATAAAAATACGTTTATTGACGTTTCAATTTCCACTTCGGAAATCGTTCTTATTGAAAAAAGAACGATTTCCGAAGTGGAAATTGAAACGTCAATAAACGTATTTTTATCTTTAATTGTGGCTTATTCCCAGTTTAATAGTAATTAATTTACAATGCCACAAGAAAATAGCTTCAGAACAATAGCAATTGATGTAGTCCAAGATGTTGTAAAATTCTGTTAGGCTTGAAGTGTTTCAATAGCTGACTCTCAACATTATGTCCTAGTCCTTGGTTCACAACTTCCTGTAAAAAAAGTGAGCTTTCTTCATCTGAGCTCAGTTCTTCTTGTGCTCCCAAATCCTTCAAAGTTAGGTATATAACTGAAGTTTCAACTTTGGAAAGTTTACTCTTTGCCCAGTAACAAGCAACTTCAGTTGGAGAAGCTTCTTCACTCCTTCTGTGAAGCCTCATCAAGAGTGCTATGGAATGCTTACACCCACCTAAAACAAAGTAAATGCTATACTTATAAATTATACCCAAAATAAATATCATTTCATAGTATGGATTTGCTATCCTTTATATTCCATATTACAATTAGATTGGAAGCATTTAAAATGTGGACATATTGAAGAATTTCCTGGATAGACAGAATAACCCATAAAGAAGCACAAAAAGAGATACTGGATTTCACCAAAATAAGAAAACTGCAATACTTGGGTCATACTTATAACAGCAGGTGGTGACAGATATGAACTCCAAAAATTAATAATGCGGGGAAAGATTCAAGGAAGACGCTGCATAGTTAGAAAAAAATTGTCCTGGCTGAGAAATCTCAAAGAATAGATTGGATGCAGCTCAAATGAACTCTTTTGGGTTGTATAGTGCCAAAAGTTAGAATAGGCATTGATGGTGGCCAACCTTAATCGCGGAGATGGCATTTAAAGAAGACATTCCATAAACATAAACAGTTTTTAAATATCATCAAAAACATATAAAACATTTCTTTAGACTTAAAATCGTAGAATCTCAATATAACTATGCATGACTAAAACTAATCTGATATTTACCTAGTACATTTTTTATCATTTTAAAAATATTTACCTGAAGAGGCAGCACAGTAATGGCACTGAATATTTAACACCTTTTCACATTCCTCATCAATATTGCAAGTTACAGCATATTGTGTTTTCCTCACATTATGTTCAGGTGTCACTTTAGCTTTAACTGTGCACACATTTTTATCCCTTCGAACTTGCACCCATCCAACAGCAGAGTCCCCATAGGAACCCTAGCGGATTGTGCCTAATATTTTCATTTCAAGTAACTAAAAATATATTGTCATTTACACTTCATAGTATTGCTTATTATTCATATTATTATTCACATTATCCATATATTATTCACATACCTTATTCACATAACTTATTATAATGATGTTATACTTTAAGGGCGTAGGCGCAAAATTTCGCACCAATGTGTTTTAAATGCATTCATTTTTTTTTCTAATCCTGAGAAAATTAATAAGTATTTTTGAAAAATTTAAACGCAGACTGAAAAATTACGTTATTATCGAGGGCCGAAAGTCCCTGAAAACTTCTATAATGTTTATTTTAATAAGTTACAGGGGTGAAAAACTAAAGAAAAAATTTAGTGTGATTTTTAATTTCAACAAATATCTCATTAAAAAGAAACTTTTTATTCATTATAAGGGACTTTTGGCCCTCGATAATAAAGTATTCTTTCATTCTGCGTTTAAATTTTTTAAAAATACTTATTAGTTTTCTCCGGTATCGAAAAAAATGATTACATATAAAGTACATCGAACATTTTGACAGGCGTCAAAATTTTGCATTCTCTTTCTTTCCTCTTAACTTTAATAAGTTTTAACTTGTATGAAAAATTCTTTTATCGATTTGTATTATACGTAAAACTATTGGTAATCATTTACTAACTCGGAACGTCTTAAAAATACCCAATTTTTTGTGGACTTAATCGAAAAAGTGAAAAAATACCTCAAATTTTAATTTCTTTGCTTTAAACTATTAAAATTTTAACTATTAAACTATTAAAAACAAATAATAAAAAAAAATCAGAAAAAATACCAAAAAATATATTATGAACCAAAAAAAATTACATAAAAAGCAAAGAAAAGTATATATACATGTATTAATAAAAAAAAAACGTAGGTAAATATGGTTTATATCCTACCTGGTAGTTTTAACACATCGAACTTTAGCAAGAGAAAAATTTTCGCTGTTTTTGATGTAAGTTCCCACCATAAACATATCCACTAAGGGTAAATTGTCAGACTGTCCCTTTAAAAACCTGGTGTCAGTCATTTAAAAAAAAAATATTTTACAAAATGTAACACACTTAAAACCTTTAACAGTATCATTACAGGCTATTGGCGACGTGCAAGTACTTGGAGGGGATACGAGAAACAATCGTGCGTGAGTAGTGGAGAAATCTTGCATCTTTTACCGCACATTTCATAGATTATAGATTTCATAAATTCATATTGTCAATTGTCATATTTCATATTCCTTTTGTTTATTTACACCTTCTGCCACTGAAGAAAATGGGATTTAGGAAATGCTGTGTTATAAATTGTAAAAATACAACAAAAAATTGTCAATTTAAGTTTTATTCGTTTCCAACTTTGAAGCACAAAGCTACTACAAAGAGAAAAGTGGATTTATATCATAAAAAAGCATAAGTAACATAACCTAAATTATGCATTATTCTTGCGCCCGATTTTAAAGTCAGTTTGAAATAAATAATAAATAAAAGTTCACTTTTAAGTGTAAATTTTAGTTTCATAACACTCACTTAGAGTTCATTTTAACTCAAAAATCAAGTTGAATGTTTGAATTTTATTTTTTTGAAGTTTTCAAAAATGCAAGTTCAAGTTTTTCTGAAGATGCATTAAGATATATTCGCTGTCCAAAAGTTTACAGGGAAAGAATTAACTGTTCAAACCAATATGATGATATCATGGGCTTAACCTGCTAGTTTATGCATTAGCATTATTTATGGTAATTTATTTTTCTTAATTCTTCCACTCCACATAATTCTTCCATTCTTTTTTAACATTTGCCACTACTAAAGCTTTTCCCTTTGACTCGTGCTTGGTTGAAAAGTTATTTGGTGATTTACTTTCTCAAATCCAGTTTTTATTATTGCATCCATATTAACAGTAATGCTGTAATTCAATAATATATTTATTTGTATTTACGCTACATCAACGTTTACCTTTTAATAATACTAATATACCGACATAATCTCAATCTTACTTTTTCTTCTTATTCTTTTTTGGAGCCACGTTCTTGACAGGTATCCGGTAACCTCGATCTAACATGAAAGCGCAGTAAATTTGGCTGATTTACGACACCAGGTGTCGTTGTTCCGAACTTGCACCACAGAATAATAAACAATCAGAAGGGCCACTCTCAGATGCCGCCTTTGAAGTTTTTCAGCACGCGCGCCATGTTTTAGGAGGACATAAACATATGATTTGTGAGGTTATGCAATTGTTTACATTTATGTTTAATTATATTATATTTATGTTATTATATTTAAAACTGTTAATATAATTGTATAGTAGGTCTATGATTGCCGTAAGTCAAATAAACCTGGTTTTTTTTTCCATGCACACCACATAAACAACACTGGTTCCCTTTAAAATCCTCGTAAAACATGGCGAAACGTCTGTGCGAAGGAGATGCGCGTACTTAATTTTCCGTGGAGAGTGGGCATTCTGTTTGTTTATTATTCTGTGCTTGCACGGTCCCAATAATACAATGGTACGTTATCAAATCTATTGACATGTGCATAAAATGCAATATAATACCCATCCATAGGTAAGATGAAGGTTAGGCAATACCTTTGCAGTTGCAGCGTTGCAATACTTATCGTTTTTACCCGTTTATAGGGATGACCAACGGACGGTGTGACGTCACAACCGATTCCGCTCGTTGTTAAATTCTGCAGTTTGTAATTGCTTATATTTATTTCATAATTATAAAATATGAGTTTTTTGTAAACTGGGGTTCTCTTAACAGCATTAAATAACATTTATCAGTACCTAATATTTTTGGAATTTAATTTTTATGCAAGTTCCCCATTGTTCGTAGACTTAGTATGTCTAAGACGAAATTAGTTTCATAAAGTTCTTTATACAGATGCATCTAAAGATGCATCATTCAGCACTATAAAACTTATCAGACTTCTTGGCGTTTGTAGTGTATACACTGGAGAACTATATGGTATCGTCGAGGCTTTTCGTATGTTCAAACTAACTGACGGCAATGTAGCGATCTGCACAGACTCCTTATCGTCAATACAAGTAATTAAACACAGATCATTCTCTGGTAAATTTATTACATGACATATATAATAAACTTACGGACCATCGAGCAATTGTCACTATAGTCTGGCTACCTTCACATTAAGGAATTGTAGAAAATGAGGCTGCATATGTAGCCGCAAAAGAAGCTTCTACTTTGTATATAATATCTTTATCAAATATCCAGCTGCATAGTGATATTAAAAAAATGTTCAAAAAGCATATTTATATGACAAATCGCAAGCTAATTGGAACAAAACGTCGAGTCATTTACACGATATACAAACGATTATACCTTCCTTAGAGCTACCACCTATGTTCAGAAGACACAAGGTTATTCTAATAAGATTAAGAATTGGACACACTTTGCTTAAATATGGCTTTCTCATGGCATCTACCGATTCACCTATATGCGGCCATTGTAGCAGTCCCTTAACCGCCAAACATTTCCTTAAAGAATGTCCATATTTTTCTACTAAAAGTAAACAATACCAGTTGGGAGGTAATATACAAGAAATGTTAAATGAAACTAAGGAATATGCAAGTCTGTTTAAATATTTAAAAGACATTCAAGTGCTTTATAAACTCTGAATTTTAATTATGTATAACGGTTAAATTTGTAAAAAATAAGTATTGTGTATTATGTACTATATGTTTTCAAATGTAAAACTGTATTTGTAATACACTTATATTGTATTATCCTGTCATCGTGTCAGTGACCTCGTCGTCGAGACATGTTTCAAAAAAAATAAATATATGGATAAAAATTGGTGTGTCGGTCTTGTACAAGCAAAATTGAATAATTTTGCTAATAAATTGTGCTTAAATAATTAAATAATTTAGTAGGTAATAAATAAATATAGATTATTTTAAGTAAAAAAGAATACAAATATGGCTGGCGATAGAAAATTCTAATACTCGTTATTTTTACCGCTCCAGTGCTTCTAGGTATGCAAAAATGCTGGTGCTTCTAGTATTAAAATGCATAATTTTAGACGAATCTAGACGTTTGTAGGTAAATCATAAACGTGTACTATAAATATTTATACAAACAACTTATCTAATAAGTATAAATCATATTTCCAAGAGTAATTTAGAATCAGACATAAAATAAAATTATCTTCTTATTTTATCCCATTTCGTAATGACATAACAGTTTTATTTATCGATACGTGTGTACATACGGTTAAATATTCTGTTTGATAAGAGTCATCAAAGTACGTTCAATTTTATGGTTGAGTAATAAACGTGTATGACTCGTTTAATACGTTTAACACCAAACCATTACCAAAGATTTGATAGTTGGAATCAAATAGACACAATTCATTAATCAGCGAATAAATAAATGTCACGACACAATGAACATCGTTTGAAACCGGATGACTTTTTTCACTGGTTTGATTGCATTGATCCCATGTTCAATATTATTCCACTATAACCACGCAGCGTAACTATTAATTAGGTTAGGCGGTTCTATTTTGAGTATAAGATTATTTTATGAATTCTTGGATATAGGGTGTTTCGTATATAGGCCGACGTAACACTAGGACAGCAATGATAGGGATGGATAGGGACTCTGAAGCGTCGGTAAAATTCATGGGTTATTAGTACTTATTGGTTAAGTTTAGTGGCTCTTAAGTCCCAGAAAACGATAAGCTTATATTTTTGAAAACAAAACTGCAAAAAATAACTATCAAACTAAAAAATTATACACATTATTATAAATTCGAAATTAACCATG